CGTGTCGTGAGCCTCATAGAGGATGCAGTAGTTCAAATCTATATCATGAGGAACCACAATTCGTGGTGTACCCGTTGAATCGGTGCTATAGGACGTGCCAAGGAAGGAATGGGCTCTTTGACTCTGAAGAGCGAGTGACAGCCCTTATTATTTGCTCGAAGGATTTGCGCCTTCCCAGTGAGACGGAGCAGCTACAGACATTAATCCCTGTTGATGAGCAGCCTGAGCAGTGGTCTGCTGTTTATCGATGTCAAAATTGACTTTTAAGATGATTTTTCGTAGAGCTCGCTCTTCATCCTTAGATTCTATGCAATGTACACCCATCGTAAGCGCCCCTTGCACATGAGGCGCTTACGATGGGTGAGTTCCCTGGTTGCGCATCTGCACGCTGCCAGCCGCTCTCCTTACTAAAATAAATATTGGCTCTGGTAACCTGTACGTTGGTATCACCCGTAGAAAATGACAAGCATATTGATGCCAAGTGCACTGCAATACTTATGTTCTCTTTACTGCTTGAAGTGCCGTGTGATACGGCGTCGGGGTCTTGGACTGAGATGAGGCCCTGATAAATTTAGCTGGGAGAGGAGTCGCCCCCCCTTCGAAAAACCAGGGTCCTCCTCAGCTCTGCTAGCCGATGGTGTAAGACCAGTTATTGGAGAAGGGGATCTTGTTTTTTTACAAGATGTTATAAAATATCGTTCCTGGGGGGATCTTATTTTGAATGCTCCTTGTTGTCGGGCTCTAACGTTGGATCTGGGCAACGCTGTGAGGCGGTGTTCTGTGAGCAGCACCGTTGGCAGTCTTCTTGGCTATTTTGTCTTAGCCCTGGTTATACCCTTGGGATTCGTCTTAATCTTAGAGGTAAATAGAAAGACGCGCTTCCAACGGGAAACGTCTGGGAGAAAGCCTTGCTTTGATGATTTGGATAAATTTCCTGCAGAATATCCAAAGCTTAGACGGTTGCTACCTATCACTTTGCTTGAGGAAGCGTATAAAATTAAATTAAGTCGCCATGATTAACCACCCTCGGTTACGACCTCTAAGAAATCTGTTCCTGGCTTTAGTCAATTAGTCCTCAATTTGGTACCCCTGACAAGTTTTACCTTCTTTTTAGTCATGAATTTGTGACGAAAATCACTCAATTCCCTGTGATAAATTCATGTTTATTTATGACTATTTCATTTGTCATTTCTCTGTGAGCGTCTCATTGCATTGCATATCCGAGAGATCCCGTCGAGCTTGCTGTCACTGAGTGTTAACAGCTGCTATTGCCAGAACATCAGTTGTACACCCGAGACTTGAAGGTTAATGCTTTCTGAGCCTTTACATCACCTAACACGGAAGCCTGTTGCTGGTGCGTTTGACAACACTAGGGGCACTCCTAAAGCAGGCAGCTCGGAGTACTCACCGCTGTCAACGCTGAATCAGTCTCTTTCATAAGCAATTGGTAATACCCATCGACCAAGTCGAGTGCACTGAACTTTGTACATTGAACCATGTTGTTCTGGAGAACATCCTTCCTAGAAATCGGCCAGTGCGCCGAATTGATGGCAGCATTAAGCTTATTTTAAGCGTGAGCGATACGCCACTCGCCGTTCGGCTCCCGGACACAATAAGGAGGTAGGACCGACAGCGGGTCTTTGGCGACGACGTCTTGAAATTCCCTCACCAAAGGATAGTACGAATCCGAGAGATTCTTCAGGTTTGAAGATCCAGTTCGATCGCTCAGCACCCTCTTGATGTCCTCCAGTACAACTTTATTCAGAAGCGACGACGAGTTGATCTAGTCTTCCGGTCGTATAATGACCACTTGGCTAAGTCGCCTTCCTTCAAGGCATCGCCGAACTCTTCGAGGAATATCTCGTCCAGCTCAAGAAGAGCATCCACCGCAGGAATAGCCTCGAAGGTGACATCGCCATCTTCCTCCCCCGTCATACCGTTTACGAGGGTATATCGCTGTGCGCTATCGTCTACGGTAGACACATCCTGGGTCAGGGTCGACGCCCAGTGTCTTGCAACTAGCATACGACGTCGTTGTCGCCTCTTCACCGAGGTTGTACGTCTCGGCGAGGCAAAGTGTGAACACGCGCTCAGCGTCGTCTAGTGTCAGCCTCAATTCCTGCTCCACCGAAGCCCTGATTTTATTAACAACATTAGATCAAAAGCTACTAACTCTGCAGACTTCGTTCGGTAGCTAACTGCGCCGCTCTACGCGAATCTGAAGGGCCTTGCCCAAGATGCCTCGGACTCGTCCGACTATGCCTCTTGTGGCACGCAGCGATTGCTTCAAAACGTAATCAGTGCTCAGTGGATTGCGTACCACTTCACGTGCATCACTGGGGCCTCGCCCCCGATGCCTCCGACCTCGTCCGACTATGCCACTCTGTGGCATGCAGCAACTGCTTCGAAACGTGAACAGTGCTCAGTGGATTATGTGCCACTCTACGCGCGTCACTAGAGCCTCGCCCTCGATGCCTCTGACCTCGTCTGACCATGCCACGTTTTGGCATGCAGCAACTGCTTCGAAACGTGAACAGTGCTTAGCGGATTATGTGCCTACACTAAGCGTCACTAGGGCCTCGCCCTCGGTGCCTCTGACCTCGAACCTCGTCCGACCATGCCACTCTTGGTATGCAGGAACTGCTTCGTAACGTGAGCAGTTACGTGTCGCTTCACGTGCATCACAAGGGCCTCACACTTATTGCCTCGGACCTCGTCCGACCACGCCACCCTTGGCATGCAGCGACTGCTTTGTTACTCGAGCAGCGCTCAATGCGTTACGTGAATTACACGTTCAGCCCGCGAGCCACGCTCGGGACTCCTTACCAGAACACTTTTTGGTGTTTGACAACTCGAATACTCCGATAACCAGCACACTGACTGTCCCAGTCCAGTGCTCGCACCAATAGCGCTTCTGATTCCTAGCAGAGGTGGATTTATAACTCTTCAAAGGTCTACCAGGTGACGTACGCGTAGCGTTCAAGGTCTTCGACCTGCAATTGATCGATAGCTCATGATGTTCCGACCATGCCATACCAAGGATGAGTTCATACCTTAAATCCAAGTCTGAGATTAAGCAGCGTTTCAACGCTATCGAAGTCAAGAAACTTGTCACCTAGGCTCACAAGGGTCTTCAGCACCGTGACACATGTCCCAGTCGCTAAGCTAACAGTGGCGATGTCACCTAAGCGCGCCTTCAGCGTCTTAGCATACAGCTAACTTCTTTCGATCGTGGAGCGTCGAGCATAATTGCCCAGCGCCCCAGAGTCGGTCATAATCTTTTATGGCCTCTCAATGTCATCCACGGTTGCTTCCACGACTAGCAAGCCCGGCTTGCATACACGATACGTGTTCAAGAGCACGGGGCTCTTTGGGGCTGGACCCTGCTAACCTCTACCTCCTCGATGCTCAACAGAACTCAGTTCTTCCCCAGGCGCCCCGCGCCTTCTGGGTGCTGTCGTTTTCCCGCGACAACCCAGAAAACTGGTAAGAAGCGAGACGTCGGTTTGATGAACTTTGATGCGCCTTGCACAGCGAAAAACCAATCCAAAGGTGACGGGTGCTCTACCGGCAAGACACCTTCGGGTGTTATGAACGCTGCTCGGCACTCGAAGCTCTGCCTCCTCGTCCTCAGCATAGCTGAGATCCATCGGCTCAGGCCCGCTTGACGCGATGCTAGAGTGTAAATTCCAAACAAGTTGTGCTGTCTTAAAATTATATTCGGCATTCAATGCCACATTCTTTGCTTTTTAAAAAGACGACAAAAGCACACGGAAGACTTCCATTCTGGTCACGCCATTGTGGAGGCGGTCACTATGACCGCCTCAAAAGAGGATGGGCTGCCATACCGGTAATATGAGTACGCAACTTCCACCGATTCCTTTTTGCCTGTCGGGCGCCAAAGAAACACAATTGCACGCGATATGCCTGGTTAGGCGGTGAGAACACTCGTGAAAGCTGCAGCTTCAGCTCCGTCCAGGAGAGAAACGCCGCTTCGACCGAGGTGCCGCACGTCAGTGCCCATTCTCTCGCCTGACAACCGAGCTTAAAGATAGCTAGTGTCACCAAACCACCCCCGAAAGCCGGCAACACTTGTAGAGAGCACGGAGGCTTCCGTGTTAGGTGATGTAGAGCCACAGAAAGCATTTACCTTTCAGGCCTCGGATGGTGCCCTAGCAAAACCAGTGGTTAACACTCACCTGGACGGGATCACCCGAGTATGCGATGCAATGAAACGGTCACAGAGAAAAGGCAAATAGATACGTCATAAAAAATGTGTTGATCACAGGAAATTGAGTTTTCCTCGACACAAGATCATATTTAAAAAGAAGGCTAGACTTGTCGAGGGTATTGAATTGAGCCGCCTTTCATACTATCATCACCTACACCCTCGCCTTATCAAATTCAGTGGAAAATCATGCAACATCGACGCAGATTGCCTTGATTCAGCTGCCGAAATTAGCGGTTGAGATGAGTGCTCTGTATTCCTTTCTAGACTAAAGGCTTCGGACCCGTATAATATTAACTAGGTAGGGTCGGGCGTAGTCTTGTCTTTTGAGGGTTGAGCTGGATATACGTGGCTTTGGAACTGCGGTCCCGGCGAGGTATGTTTGAAGAGCATAGTCGGCACACAATTGCGACTTCTGGTACGAGAACGAAAACGCACCTTCTATAGGATGTCGACAGAGTTTCATCAAAAGGTGTGCAGATTATATGCATTAGCGCGTCCATTGATGCAATGATGGTAATCCTTACTCTCTTGGATAGAAATGCCACATCGCTTACATATAGATAGACAAGTCTAGGCCGTGCCGAAGTTCTGCGCTTCGCCTGCTATGTTCGATCCCTAGAAATTTTTTGAAGGCATGAACTTGGTTCCGGAAAAAAAATCTCGTCTAGTAATAGGTGCACTGAGAGGTCAAAAGACACGCAGTCCTTTGCCAATCTACGAATGCAGATTGGCAAAGGACTGCGAAGTTGGGTGGCAGATATGCCACCCAAGTTCTCCTCTATTTCGGTGGTGAGTTTAATCATCACATAGAGCTCATTAATTATGAAAGGCACCCCCATAAAAAGTGCCAGCTGTCCCTGATGAGGAGTGAAGACGTCCCGAGTCACCAGCTTATTAAAGGCGTGCGACCGTCTCCCGGGAGAGTTCCACCCATGTTGCACTCTCTCGATAGAAGCGCCCGGATATTGGGAGAATAAAATAGATCTTAAGCGCACAAGGTATGGGGCTAAATAGAGCTACGCCATACCCGCGCTGTTCTAAAGCGATAAATTCAACATAAGTTGTATTCTAACATCTTCGAGTGAAGCTGTCGTTTGCTCACGATGTGAAACACTTTATGCTGAAGTCACGTTGGTGAAAGTCTACCAAGCTTTGCCTTTTGTTGAAGAGCATTGATCTACCGTTTAGCCAACTTCCATAAGCAAATGCCGGTCTAATCCCAAGACCTGACGTTGTGTGGAATCACTTAAGTGTTTCTCCATATCTGGAATAAATTCTCTTGTCTTCCACACTTCTACAAAAATCAGTAAATGTTTTAGGTGAAATTTGGTGTGGCGATATTAGCACATACAAGGTAACTTTCCCGGCGCTCTGAAAAAGACGGTCTTTATTTGATGAGGCGGCGTTCAAAGGTATCGCAGGATGTGTAGTCGCCCTCCGGTCCACGCAGAGAGCAGACATGCCTCAGGACGTGCTCAAGGAAGAAATGGGTTATTTGACCTTGAAGAGCAAGTGGCAGCCCTTATTATCCGCTCGAAGAATTTGCGCCTTCCCAGTGAGACGGAGCAGCTACAGACATTAATCCCTGTTGATGAGCA